TTCCGCCAGTGATTGCCCATGACATACACACGAGGACAAACACACACCTGACTGCCTGCATTTGTGTGTGTGCTACAGACAGGATTCATGTATATGTGTGTGTGTGCATCCATGCTTCCGTTTCCTCAGGATAAACAATACCATCCAAGCCTATTATGAATCTGCTGAGCAAACTGACACTGATTGGACACAGCACACACATTCACAAACAAAACACAAGCAAAACTCCGTCTCTCAATTAACTTACACATGCAGGATGACAGGAGTGCGTCAGACTTTTTGGGCCAAGATGGCTACCCTTGACCTCAATCCCTCCATATGGAGAGCACTGTAGGAAGGAGGGGGCGGAGACTCACCGCGCAGCCAACACCTGAGCAGTTACCGCAGCAACAGCAAGTGGAACAGTTGGCTGGCGTCGCCTGGCTGAAATAATGAATTACCTGGAAAAGCCCACTGGGAAGCAAAGACGACTGCTGGCAGTTCACGGGACGATTGGAAGCATCGTCCTCCATATAATAAAGTGGTCATTCAAACTGGTCTGCGGAATAGTGCTAATTACTGGCCAGGGTCAAATTCAGAGAGGAGCACCTACCTGAGCGTTTTGGTGGTCATGTCGGCTGCTGTGATGCCATGGTACATCAGCGTTTCGTTCCACACTGGGTTAAGCGTATTCTTCAGGGTTTTTGTGCGTAGCTTGTTTGCCTGAGGAGACAAAGGAGAAATATGAAAAGAAACTCATGGAAGGGGAAGGATCAAAAGAAGAAAAGAGGAATGAAGAAAGTTTCAAGGGTGAAGAAGCAAACTCGTCAGATCAGAATGAAAGAAAGAGAATAAAAGATCATGAAAAAGGAAGGGGAACGAGTGACACTAAAAGATCAAGAAAGGAGACACAGAAAGAGTGGGGAACCATCATTTATTTCCGTCCCTCATGAAATCGCAGACATCTGCTGCCTACTTTGTAGAGGAGAGTAAGAGGACGCGAGGCTTCCCTCGCCTCACCTGTCTGTCCATCTCCTCCCCAACATGATAGGACAGCCAAACCTCCAAAACAAGCACTGTGTCAATGTACACATTCAGCATGAAATATTTTAGCTTTCCAAGAGAGGAGATGGCCACTAGCCGCTTGATGTGTTAAATGTGTTCCACTCATCAGTGTAATCATTGGGGTTATTTTGAAGATTTTAGAGCGCTCCCTTTGGAGCCATAGAAGAAATTACACAACTGTTTTCACAGCGTTGCGATGACTAAACTGACCTTCATTTGTAAAATCTGTGGAGTGTCCCTTTTAAAACACACCAATAAGCCACAATGTCCTGTCACAATGTGTTTTAATCCGCCACTGAAAATAGTCCCCAACAAATGCACAATTTACTATTTTCCTGCTTGAGTTAACGCTCGACCAGAATTAAAGTGCCCAGCTTTTGGGTAGTTATTCCGTTGTAAGTATGTACTCGTGACCCATTTAAAAAAAAGAAGAAAAAAAAAGATTTGCATTTCCAGTAGGAACAATTTTGCTCGGGATTGGAGGAGTCTGAAAGTATCGATGCATATTGATTTTGGTCTTTTCATGGGATGTGATGACAACAAGAAAAAAAATGGAGCATCAACAGCCTTATCTTTTAAAATTTAAAATAGTATATAAAGTGGTGACAAATATCTGAACCAGTTACACTGAAATGCTCCATGCATTGTAATGCATCAGTTACAAGTATCCAATTTCATAGTAAACACAGAGACTAAGACATTTTATCTTTTAAAAATGAATACTTAACATTTGATTGTTTTTGTTAATAATACTTTTACTAAAGTAGGCAGGATCTTTTCTTGGGATTTTACATTATGGTATTGCTATTTTTATTCAAGTAAAGGATCGTCCACTAGTGTTTATGCATAGCTTCAGTATATACATGTACTTGCTGAATGTCCAGCTGGTGGACACTATTCTCTCTAAATACTCTAGCTTATGTCTGAAGCCTCTCAGAGAAACACCTCATCTCACTCTCTCTCTTTTCCTTTCTGCCACAGTCACAGTCTCTCTCTTCACAGTCCCTCTTTTATTCTCAATTTTCTGCTGGAAACTTTTGGCTTATCTACAAGAGTCAGCCCCCCAGAGCTCGCTGAATGAAGGGAACAAGTGTCATTCATGTCATTTGTTTGATTCATTAATGTGCAGGAGGAGACGTTCACAGGCAGAGTCACGACTTACAGCGGTGTTGCACAGCTGTATGTGGGCCAGCACAGCTCAACAAAACAAATAGCCTATTTCACAAATAATCACCACTCCTGTTTGACTGAATTGGGCAGGTTTTCTGAACACATCTTTTTACATGCTTCATCTACACACCAGTTCCCTCTCACACTCCCTGCCTCCATTTTCCCTCTACACTGGTGCTTTTGCATCTGTTTCTAAATGTTTTATCTCTAGCCCTCCATCTGTCCATCACACTCTCCCTGCTTTTTCTCCATCTGTCTGTGGATCTTTTTATTTATTTCACACTCCCTCTCTCTCCCTCTCTCAATCCCTACTTCCCAGAGCTGTGGAAGTAAGGGTCTGTGTTTTGAGGGAATCGTCCGTGCACCACGACTAGGAATGGGACGATGAAAATCCCAAGGACCAACACAGAGGCTCTGCCAATTACTGTGTCCATACATGTTTGTGTGTGACAATGAGGGATGGAGTGGCAGAGAAGGAAAGCAGATGAAGGCTGAGTCTCTGTGTGACTGTGGCTAAAGCCTTAGCCAGTGTCTGCATATACACAAGGTCATGCGCCGCATGTGTTGCAGTGCATGTTCCACATCACAAAGACAGCATCCAGGACTCTAATCATTAAAGATCATGAGCTGGAGGACGAGAGACTGAGAGAGAAGCAAAATGAGTGGGCAGAGGAGACGTGTGCCTCTGCTCTCTATGTTTTGACAACTCAGTTCTTTCGCAGAAACTGAAACCTTTTGTGTTCTGGATTACTCACTGTAGCGTTTGCTTGCAGAGTCTGAATGTGGACATGGAGCAGGTGTGTTGGTGCGCGTCCGCTATACTCACTTACACTACGTGTGCACGCTTCCACTTCTCACGTGGCGTGGCCCCCCTCTGGTGGGTATTTAACAAATGGCTGTTCATTGGTACTTACTTACTCATTGACGCTTTCTCTGGGCCCCCCCTCATCAACACTTGCCTGTTGACGTGAGCCGTGTAACAATCCTCCCTGTTTCCATGACAACCACCTGCTGCTGTCCTCCCCTCATCTGTCTCTCCCTCCCTCCCTCCATCCACTCCCTCTCTCTTTCTCCCCCTTTTCTCACTCTCAGTTGTCTCCCCTCTCTCCACACACTGTTGGTATTTCAAGGTCAAATAGTGAGATAGAGACAGCGATAGCGGTGGAAAGTGGGGAAAAGAGAGCGATAACAATGGGAGAGAAAACAAACAGAGGAAGGCTGGAGGACAAAAATCCCCCAGACGTTGTTATTGGTAGCCCCTTAGACCTCAGACAGTTGCCTTATTCAACCTATCTTGGCTCAGCATCCTCCCCGCACTTATCATTACCTCATTTCGTGTCAACCTTGAGCCAAAATGGCCGACAACAGGTTGCATTCTGCCTTAGCTGGGGGTTCCTGTTGTGGCAAGCCTTATCTTCCCTGCTTCTTGAGCTGAAAACAAGGCAAGAGCGGTGCAGCAGACCAGAACGTGTTTGTGCTCGATAAAGCTGAGCATTGGACGAGCCACATTAAGCGGCAACCGACCGAAATGCTCCCCGCTCAATGGCTTGAGACGACACATTAAATTAGCCCACTGCCATGTCATATTTTTTGCAAGAGCATTTTGACCTTTTCATGGCGTCTGAATCAACAAGGGAGATCTTTTAAAAAGTAAATAATTGTTTTTTGTTTTCTTCAGATGAATAATGCATGAAATGTTTCCTATTTTTTAGCCTTTTCAATACATTTTTTTTTTTTTTGTCAGCAGCTTCTGTGTGATGTGGGACTTTCCTCAGTGTCAGTGTCTGGGACAGCCCAGTGTGGTAGCATGTTACGTTAATTGCCACAGAGGTAAGGTTGGAGCAGTGACCTTGCTAGCCCCAGGGAGAAGATGAAGCTTGACGTATGGATCAGCCAGTCCATTGGAGTCCATGGCTTTCAGTCCCTGTTGACACAAGCAGACACACACAAAAACACATTATGAACTGTCAAAGGTAAACGTCATCATGCCCTCAAACACTTCGTACAACTGACAGGGTCAGAAAAAGATAGAAGATATGACGGACGCGTTCTACTGTAGTTACATCTCAATAGCGCTCCTGGGCGTGTCCTTCCATGCCACTATTTTCTACCATCCTTGACTCCTTTATGTTGTCCTCAAGGGAAATGTTCAGTGAGATTTACATAATTAACATCATGTGTCAGTACACATGTAATACAAGGCTTGTGTCCTTGCACGATGGCCAAACCAAAATGAGTCTGCTACAGCAACAAAGTAACATTATCCAACATTTCACATAGCCATGAGATGATTTAGTCTTGAATTGACAAGCTGCAGAGGGTGTGTGGCAAACACGCTACTTTAAAAAGGTTGAGAAAAAGCAGTCTGACGTCTTGTGTAAACGCCTTACAGGAGAATTGTTTTCATTGGGACTTCAAGAAGGATTATGCAACCAGACAGAAGTCTGTTTATGTGGAGAAGATATTACAATTGTGTGTACCTTTGCCTTGTGAACAGTACAATGAAGACAGTTGTTCTCCTGATCAAATAGCAGGGTGAACTCCAACGTTCCCAGGTAGGCTGAAAACAACACAAACCACGGCAATTACTGCCAGTAAAGGGACAGAAATGCTCAGTCTCACACACGCAAACACACACTTACTCAAAAGCTCTGAGTCATATTTGTAGCAGATGGCCTCTAAAAAAACATGATGCTGCCTAATATGAATTGATCTGTCTTGTTTGATTACGGTTTGGGAATGAGCAGAAACTTTGCAGGCTGAGTCCAACTATTGCAACAATTTCTAATAAATCATTGGAGAAGCTGTGTCACATAAAGTGGGAGTGACTCTTGGAAAAATGCTCAACTTCACAATTACTCTGAAAGCATATGTTGTGCTTCACAGTCAAAAACATGAACTCAGTTTGAATAAAAAAAAAAATAAATGACTCCTCTCTAAAGTTTAAGAATTGGAGGCGTTTGTTTTTCTTCTGCATCGTCTTGTAATTTTCACATGAATAAACATAAACACACAATATTGAACACAACGTTCTTGCCACTGAGCTTTGTTCACCCTCATCAGAACTCACTGTCTTCATCGTCAGAGTCGACCGCCTCCTCCCTGTCTCCATCGTTGTCCCCCCTTCTCTCCCCATCCTTGTATCCTCCACCCGTCTCCCCGTTGAAAGTCTCCTCTTTTAGGATCTTCTTCTCCCTCGGAGGCGGTGGCGTGCAGGGGTAGTCGTGGAAACGCGGGAAGAAGTCTGAGATCTGTGGGATGGGGAGGATGGGGCCCGGGCACACGTTGATGGCAAAGTGCTCCTGCATAGAGATCTTGACCGGTGAGGGAGGGGGCGGACCGGTGGAGTGGGGCGTCGCCGAGGGGGAGGTGGCTGATGAGGAAGGAGTGGAAGTGGAGGAAGGGGGGATGGCCAGGTGGGAGGCGGAGGGGGGCGGCGGGGGTTTGGAGACGCTCATGTGGACTGTTGAACGGGACTGTTGGATGAAAACGAAAAAGGAGAAAGAAACGAATAAGGTGAGGAAGACAAAGAGAATAACAGCTGGGATGATAGCAGAGGGAAGGGACCAGAGGCTCAGAACTAAAAGAGAAAAACTAAATAACTGTCATATCATCCACCTCCTCTGAGCGTCCAACTCTCCACTTTCTGCGAGTCTGTACAGCAGCACCAGGGGTCATTTATATCTAAAGCAAGTCAACATTGACAATATGTTCACACATAAAAAAACAAAAAAAAATTCACAGTACATCTAAAACACCTGAAGAAAACTGATGTTTCTATTTCCATCCATTGATGCAAAATCTGATTTCTCAACAGCCAAAATAGAATCTGCCAGAACCTTTGGCACTTCAAGTGTGACTCACACATTGTGTCAGCACACCAAGTCTGTGCTCTGAATTATTATTCAAATGTGGTGCTGTAAAGTATGAACAAGTGATGTCAATTGTGTATCTGCACTTCACTCTAATCCTTCCCTTATCTCTCTCTCTCTCTCTCTCTCTCTCTCTCTCTCTCTCTCTCTCTCT